ATCTCAATCTGCACAACATCTTCCACCATGCTGCCAATATCAGATCCTTAATGGACTCAGGCAGAAATACAGCCCATATTCAGGGCAACCAACCACGGCCCCTTTAGTTGGGTCTTCAGATAATAAACTTGAAACAAACGTTGTAGGACCACAGGATGAGTACAGAGCTCTTGGATCACCCTTTGGCCACGCTTTAAGGTTTTGGGTGCACTGTGGACATTTGTCCTGTAAAAGAGAATCTGTCTGCATGTTACAGGTAGATGATGTATAAATTGTCCAGTGCCAGGTTCTGCCATGTTCTCCCTGCAACAGAAAGATGTGGGTGTGTTTTCTGGTTCTGGAAAACAGGCTGCTTCCTGTAAGGGGGTTATAACTCTCAAGCAGTGAGACATTCGGCTGATTTGATCAGCAGGGCAGTGCATAAGAAATTACTTTTCAAGCCAAGTATGCTGTCACAAATCTGAGCTTCTCTTTCAGCTCACTGTTTTAATTTTAATATGGACTAGGGTCTGCTGGCTTTCAGGAGATGTAATCATGTTAGAGGGTTTCAGTGGCCCCATATTGTTTTAGAAGCTCTAATGAAGTAAGAGGCTTAAGATCAAAGAGCATCTTATTAAATGCCATGTTTATGGCATTACTGATTAAGCAGTTTATGAGCCAATTGGAAAACCACATCTGCCCTGCTACAGAAAAATCCACCTTTTAAATCAGAGCAGCTGAGAACAGGAAAGTCCTGCCCTTTCACCCTGTGCTTGGGCATGGTGCAAGCGGTAACAGCATCTTTGCTAATTTAGGCAGGTCTGTTCTTTCCCCTTCACTTGTAGACAGGACTGGGAAGTTACACGTGGCATCTCATTTTCCACTTGCCACTGACAATATGGACCCATCTTGGTGGTGGGAAAACCAAAGAACAGAGTATTTCTGCTGTAATTCCAGCACAGAAATGCTGTGGGACACATTTACCTCTTTGGGGAAAGATCTCATTGAGCAGTTTTTACTGCAGTGTTAGTGAACAAACACTGCCAGATGAAATGTCCTGGTCAGGTGCTGCAGAAATGATCACAGCATTGCTTATTTTTTACATTAATATTGTAATTCAAGACTAAAAAATCAAAATTAAACGTTTCATGCTGTCTCCCTCACAATCTTAGTTCCATTCCTAAAGTCAAGGGAACATAACCCATGCAAAGGACTTCCAGGCACATGAAGTAAACAAAATTATACTAATAACAGTAGTAATATTAGTACTAACAGTAGTAATACTACTAGTAATGGTAATAGTGATGTTAATAATATATTTGCTCATCCTTCAGCTGGAACAATCTTAGAGGTTCCTTTAATTCACAAATTCGTTTGGAGGTTTGACTAGGTGTTTGCTTAACAGTTCCACTCAGGTAATCTGCCTTGAGTACTTTCTCAGCTCAAATAACAACATTCTGGGTGTATTTGTTTGTTTGTTTGTTCTTCAGGAGGATTTTGAAAATCATAGCTGGTTAATCAAGCTGAATTTAAAAATTTGCAACCTTTATGCAATTCTGATGGCAAATAAGGCAATGTGAATATAATTTATGTGGGATTTGTTAACATTTTTATCCTTTTTACCTCTGTTTTACTCCCTGCACAAAATGGATAGCATTCCCTGTAAGCAGAATACATCCCAGACAACTTCAGTACTCTGAAAATTCCTGTCTGTCTGAGCTTCCTTTCTGCTGAAAGGAGGAGGCACTACAGGTAGGGGCTCAGCCTGTTTGTTCGATGAGTTGTCTTAACAGCTCCCAGATTTCTCTGCTGACTCACAAGGAAATTGAGGAAACCTGCATCCATCATATGTCTCCTTTTCAGACAGCTAAAATTAGGTGAGATGCATCTCATTCTTGGCAGAGTTCTTAATTTTTTTAGTGTATGGCCTAATGACAAATTTTCTGAAATTCTATTGAAATCTTTCAGCTACTGAAGTGTCCCTTACCTTGAAGGGTTTAGTTGTAAATGGAGTATCTGAGAGTGGAGGTTATCTCAGAAGTTGGGCAATATTTAAATTTGGCACAGAATGAATTAATAGTGTGATTAAAATAAAAAACCCTTTTCTTTTGAGTGTGGACTATGACATACCTAAGGACTTAACTTTTCCCTGGATCTACATTACATCTTTCAGAGAACCAACCTCATTCATCAATTAATTAAAAACAGAGAAATCAATTTTTAATTTGTCAATTCATAGTTTGAATAAAAGAAAATCCTATTATGATTTACTTTTGTGCTTTATCCAGTCCTAAATGTAAATGGGATTATGTTGTGAGAGCGTGACTTATTATCATTACACCAAATCCTGTTTGCAAAATACTTTTGATAGTTTTGATAGTTTATTTTTCATGGTGTTATTTAGGCTTTTAAAAGTGCATTTTGATAGGAAACTCAAGGAAAAAAGAAGAGATTGATTGAATCTGACTCTTGTTACCACTGCAAAAGCATACCAGTGTGCACAGCTTCAGAGTTGCTCATGATGTGAATGTTCATTGGAGTTGCTTTGGGTCTGAGTTAATGATGGGAAAACTTGGCAGGAACTTCTTGTCAGTTTATTGAGGGAGAGTTACAAGACCTGAGAAGTGAGCAGGTTTTCACAGCTTGAGGCCTCTGGTGACTGGACATCAGGATGTCACCTGGGCAGCATTTCAGCCTTCACCATCCACAGCTCCTCTCCTGTGAATGGTAAACAATTTCCTTTCCCAGTCAGAGTGGTCCCTTCCTGCCAGCAGCACTCAATTATTCCTCAGCTCCTGTGCTTGGTGTGGATGAGGGATATGTGCTGTGTGGTGGAACAGCTGTATGGACAAGTCACTGTTGTTTGTGACAGGCAGGAGGGAGCTCTCAGGTTCTGGTGGGGTCTGTTTACCCTGATTTATAGCTGCAATCGTGGCTGACTGCAGTGTGTCACAGGGGTGTATCACTGGAGCTGCTGCAGAGGTGATTATGAGGTGCAGCCATGAGGCCCTGGAGCACTTTAACTGCTTTATTTGCCCTCCCAAATGCCCAGTAATAGCTGAAAATAAAATGGACAAAAAGGAAAAGCTGTTGACAGCCAGAAAAGTTACTGTAATACTAAAGACCTCAACTTGGCTCCAGACAGCCATTTCTGTCTTTGCAAACAATTAAGATTATATTTCCTCAGAAGAAGCAATTTCTTCAGAAAGAGGTCCAGAAAATGATGGAAGCTTTAAATTTTATTTGCTTTTTGCTATTTTGATTTGCCTAGGTACAGGCCCACACAAGCTTTTGCACTGGTGGGAAAACCCACTATATATATATATATATATATATTTTATATTAATTATATTATTGTATATATAAATAATTCATATAAATAATAGATATAAATATATTTACTCATCTAATATGAATAATAATATCATTAGGTTGGTGCCTTTTCCTCTTGAAGCTGTTTTTAAGCTCTGCAGTACCTTTTAGCCTGAAAGGCTCAGGAGGACAACTAAGAAATCCAAGAATCTTCAGGCTTAATTTCATCATATAAAAATGTTTATCTATTCTAGAAAAGTTTTAAGAGCTCACTAACTGAACAAAGTTGAAAGAACTGCCATAGTTTAAAAGCAATTTATCCAAATAAGCTACCCTTATGTCACCAGGTTTGTGCACTGGAATTACAAAAGCAGGAGTTAATATGTGTAATTGTTCATGTGTGACAGGGAGAATATGTTGGAATAGCCTGAATAAAATTAAAGATATATTTTCTGCTCAGTTTCTCACTGCCTTTTACAGTGCCAGTGCCTCTAACTTCACAGTGTGTTTGGTTCTGGGAGTGGCTGATAGTTTGGATTTGCACCCTGTGGAGACAGTTTGGAGCTAAAAGCAGGATGTTTGCATCCACAGAGCTCTGCACTTCCAGGAACTTGATGCCTTCGTGGCAGCATTGTACCCCCACAGTCCCTCACAGGATAGCAGCTGGGACTTCATGTCACAAAATCATGTGTTCCTTGTGGCTGGGACCGTGCTGATGCTGGAGCTGTGTGGACTCACCTGTGGGCTAAGCTTAAAGCTTAAAATTGAGCTAAAAATACCTTGTTAGAACAAAGTCAGAAGCTTTAGGCAACTGTCTTCCACCAAGATTAACAGCTCATGAAAATGATAAGTTGATTGGAGTAAGTTGTATTAAAACGATATGAAAAGTGTATGTGGTCAAGTAGTTTTCCTGGACCATTGGAGTGGATACACAGTGGAGGTCCATGAAAAAGATGAGAGGGTGGAACACCTCTGCTGTGAAGAAATTCTGAAGAAGTTGGGGATGTTCAGTCTGGAGAAACAAAGGTTCCAGGGGGAATTTATCATGGCCTTTCAGTATATGAAAGGGTCGTGCAAGAAAGAAAGAGATCTTTTATCGAGGACCATAGTAACAGAACAGGGGTCAGCTGTTTGAGGGTGGATTTAGATTGGAGATAAAGAATTAAATTTTTACAGTGAGGGTGGGGAGATAGCCAGGTTGCCCAGTGAAGCTGTGGAAGCCCCATTTCTGGAAGTGTTCAAGACCAGGCTGGATGGGACCTTGAGATGCCTCATCTGGGGGAAGGTGTCCTTGCCCATGGCAGAGGGGTTGGAAATAGGTGATCTTTGAATGTCCTTTTCCACCCAAAACATTCTGTATTTTCTCTTATTCTATGAATAAATGTTGCAGTCTGCACCTCTGAATTTTTCTGCATGGCAGTTAATGAATTATGCAGCATTTTCGGGATGTTGTGGCAATGCAAAAATTAGCTGCTGATTTCTGGAAAACTCTGTTCAAACCTATGTGACAGCTTGAATTTAAGCTTGGTTTTGAATTTTTTGGGCTGAGAGGATTAGATCATATCAGAATTCCATTCTGGCTTTTCCCAACAAGAGCAAGGGCCATTTCTGAAGTGCAGTTTGTAGGCTAAGAGATCCGTGTAAGTATAATTAATGGCATGTCCCACTGCCTGATTAATGTCTTTTATTTATGTTTCTGTAACGGATAGGATTTGATCTGATGGATTCATTCAGTGTGAAGCAGATTTTTGGAATGAAAGAAGATGGGATTCAGAGTGCTTATGTACGGCTTGGAAGCTTTCCTGTTGTTCAGAAAACTGAGTGAGTATTCTGGGTTTTCACTTTATTTTCATCTGAACCTCTGCCTTACATTATTTGGTTCCTTCAGGCAAACTTTGTAGTAGTTATATGGTACCTACAGGTATATTCCTGCTCTGAGCAGCTGTTTCAGTTCAGCTTGCACAGAATATCCACAATGTGGTCAGGAGTCTCAGCAGTAACTACAGGCTCCATCCTGGCAGAATATGAGTTGTGTTTTCTGTATCTCAGTGGTTCTGAGGAGCAGTATCAAGACATTCACAAGAGAGCTTAGGCCTACATAAGTAGCTTCTAAAGGGAATATTTGGTAGCACTCCCACTGAGATAGAAAATTGCTAAGCACAAGAAACCACTTTCTGGTAGGTGCTGTGATCACTTAGCAAATATGGATTCTGGCCTTGTAGAAGAATGAGGTTTTTAATCCTGTGTCAATATGGATTCAGTCCTCAGAGTCTTTTGTGACCCAAGGCTGCCACTTGTGTTGCAGTCTATCACAAGTGATTCTTTGGGCTGTCACTTGAGCCCTGCTAGCATTAGTATTGAAAAGAGTGAGTGCATAGTTTCACTGAGTAACTTTGAGCCATAGATTGTATTGTCATCATTAACATTTTTGCAGTAAAGTTCTCAGTGCTAGTTTGAACTTCAGCTCAAAAAAAATCAATAATGCTTCTTTTCCTTCTTATGGATGAGGGTTGTTTTTTTCTATTCTGTTTTTAGCTCTTTTTCACAGCTCACTTTATTTTTGAGATTATCCTATGAATTACATTTACTTGATTTCACAATATTTTTTTTTTCATCTTGGAACCAACAGGTTTGATGTGCTCTTTTTCTCTCCCCCTGTTTCTCCATGTCAATACTATATATACATATATATATATATACTGAGAGGAAAACTGTTATCTCTAGAGTCCATAAATGATATCAAGTCTAAGGGTAAATATAGTCATGATCAGTGATCTGATTCAACACAGCCAGCTAAAGACATCTTAGGTTTGGTATATATATATATAACTGGATGGGAATAAACCATAGACCAGTTTCACTTGGATGGGAAGAAACCTATTTAATTTGTCTCACTGTGATCTCTGGGTTCTGGGTGATACTATGACAAATAGAGCAATTTTTGGAGTATAAGCAGAAACTGCCAAGTATGAGCTGATAATCTTCATATCCTACAGCTCAGTCACCACTGCTGCTGTGTCCAGCCTTATTTTCCAAAATTCAGTAGGTAGAAATGGAGTGAATGGAAGTTTGAAGATCTGTGAAGCAAGTGTAATGGTGAGAAATCCAAGAACTGCAGTGTAGACAGGTAAAATTAAGAAGCAGCCAACAACTGAAGGGATCACTCTCTCTAAGAACCTCTGGGAAATCAAAGTTTGGTAAAGGGTCTTTAAAAAAGGGTCATGGTAGACTGAGAGTCAGTGGCTACTTGACATCAAAAACCAACAGGGGAAAAAGGCATGCTTTTAATGATTAATCTAATTAATCACTGGAGAAAGTTAGCACAGATCATAGAGAGTTGTCTATATGAATCCCTGTTTCAAAGTAAGGGGTGAAGAACTTTGTTGCTGTTGTTTCTGTTGTTGTTTTCTCAGAAAGACTGAGGAAGTGAAGCCAGACCAACCAGCTATAACAGCTTTCCATCTGCTCAGATTTCATCCATTTATTTGTTGTTGCTGTTGCCCTTAAAATAAGCAGAATATTTTATTACCCAGGACAATTAGAAGTAAAACATCCTTAATTAGTAGATGGAAATGAATAAAATTCTTTTTCAATGATTCTGAAACATGGAATTCAAGGAGGAACCACATTTTCATCCTTTTGTATTGTAACTTCCACACTCCTGTGGTTTGGGAATGAACTCAAATGGATATAAAACCATGGAAGGTGTTTGCATAGTTCATTTTAGCATTTGTATGCCAGGACTCTGAGATGCTGCATATAGGGTCATTGCTCACAGAAAATGAAATCTTGTAAAGCTGAGCAAAACAGATAACTGGAATAATAAACCAAACAAAAACATCTGTTGTGGCTCACAGATAACCTCCAGCAATGTTCAGCAACTGCTAGCAACATCTCATAATTAGATACAAAATCATTAACTGAGTAATATATGTAATTCACTTTATTATCTGCTTAAAGGATTTGTATTCTTTTATACAAGCAATAGTACTTTTATGAAGTGCCAGATTAGCTGTCTGGGAAACATGCCTACTCATCTTCTGATCTGTAACCTGCAACTATGAACTTTCTTCCTTTTCGTGGTGAGGCATCTTCTGTGAGCAAACAAACCCAGCAGCCAGAGCTTGGCTTCAGTCAAGGACCTGACAGGACAGGTCAGTGCAGTTCAGTCAGGACCTGATCACTGAGGGACTCACAGGTCTCTGTAGCTGTCTGAGGACTGGCCCCAAAATCTGGCTGGTGGTTTTCCCCACTCCTCATGTAACTGGAGCTGTCCTTCTGCTTGTTCATGGCTCCTCAGTGGATCTTGTGGCCAAAACTGTGCTGCACAGTTCTGTTTTTGGATGCTCAGGCTAGTTTCTCATTACTGGTGTCTTGCCTAATGCCAAGATTTTGTCTCACTCTTTTGTTCTGTCATCTATCTGCATCTCCTAGTCATGACTCCAGAGCCTTCCTACTGACCATGTCCATCCTCAGTTTTCTCTTGCCTGGTCTGGTTCCAGCCTGACTTGATCATGATCTTGGCTACCACCTCACAGAATTACCTGATGCTTGCCCAAGCTTCTGGCCCTGATCTCTTTGCTCTTTGTATTGGCACAGTATTATACCAATACAGAGCGCTGGGTTGTTTAGGGCATGATACCTTGTTGTGTTTTTCTGGGGACTGTGTCTCCTGACATCAGCTTTGACTTCAGTCACCTGCCTTAAGTTTCTCCATGAGCTCCTGCCCTGGTCTCATCATTTGTCCCTTTGCAAGAGAAGAAATTGTTCAAAAAACCCCTGAAAACTCCCACACTGAACATGGAACCTGCTGAAAGCTTCCTTTCTTCTTACTTTTCCCAAACAAATATTTCATATTAAGAAGAGCAGAGACAAAAAAACTTGTTCAGCTTAGAGAAGGGAAGACTCAGTGAGGGATGATCTTGCCCATGTGTATAAATATCTGATGGGGAGGAAGCAAAGAAGACAGAGGCAGAATCATCTTAATCATATTCATTGAAAGGACAAGAAGGAATGGAAACAACTTAAATCAATGAAATCTAAACACAAGCAAAACTTTCTTTAGACAAGATGATCTCAAGAGGTTCCTCACTATTTCTAACAAGGTAAAGGAGATAAAGCATGATGGAGGTGGAATGACTGGAGGTTTTTTTTGTCACGTAGAGAGTAATGGCCTGTAGGGAGAGCTGAGAAACACAGAAAAGACTGCAACAAGCAGAGGAGAACAAGTTGTTCACATGGCTTCTTATGGAAAAAAAAGTTGTTTTGGGAAAATTAAACTACAGCAAGTGAGATTTAGGATGGATTCCTTTTTTTTTTACAACATGTAGGACAGAGAAAGGAAGAAATTACCTAGAGAGGATGTATGTATTCTATCACTGAGGTTTCTGAAGTAGAAGTGAAAAAGAGGTGCGCCAATGATCTATGAGACATCCCCCTATAGCTTTTCCTTTCCTTTTCCTTTTTTCTCTTTTTTTTTTTTTTTTTTTTTTTTTTTTTCTTCTCCTGTCATTCTAAGAGCCTCTGGTGATGTGAAGCATATTTAAATGAACTGTCTTTCTCCAGCTTGGTTTTGCAGCTCTTATGGGTTACATTTCAAATTGGCAAGCTTAGCTGTTGCAAAATTGGTCAAATTACTCAAGTACTTAAACTACACTCTTCCTCACCAAATGTAAAAACCCTATTAAATGTTGTTGCATTCAGTATCTGAAATGAGAACTGGTAATATAATTTTTTCCACATTGTTATTATAGATCTAGGATCTCATGCTTATTGCCACAGATGAAAACTCTTATTGCAAAGTAAAGCATGTGAGAATGTCCCTATATATTGAAAACCAGCAATGGTTAAAAGAGTTTTCTGCCTTAATATATTTTTTTCCCTTTTACAAAAGTTGTGATTCTCCTGACCTTGTAGTTGAGTTAATTGACTTAAAACTAACCTGCAGCACTGGGGGATTCTTTTGTCTTGGAGTTTTATAAGGGCCTTTTCTGCAATCTATCCTGTTGTCAGAATTATAGACCGAGGAGCTGGCAGAATGCTCCCTGTAGGTACCAGGCATCCAGCAAAGTTCCACAATATCGATCATCAGTTCAATTCAGCCTTGTGTGAAAGAGCAACATAAAACATTTCTGGGGACAGCAACTGCTGCTCTTGGATCCCCATGAAAAGCTGAACTTCTTGATGCAGATAATTTTTAAGTGAGGAAATAAGTTAAAACCACTAAACAAAGTTTTTGTTATTTATGCAGCAATGGAGTTCTGTAAAAGATACAGAGACCAATAACTTCAGAGACAGCTTTTATCACATCTTTAAAGCAATGAGAGTGTCTTCAGATTTGCTTTTGGCATGAAACTTTTCTCTGTTGGGAACTTGCAGCTGGTTCCTCAGCAGCTTTAAAAATCATTTGAGGATGGCAGGTAATGGGTCATTATGGCTTTCTGTCAGTTTAAATCTACCTGATGGGCTGTTTGTCAGCCTTGTGTGATGAGCTGTGGCCAGACTCACTGGGATTTTTAGGTATCTAATTCCCAGTTATTTCTGTGGGTATTAAACATCTGAAAACTCTTTTTGAAGTAATCTTGCATAATAATATTCCTGTTCCCAGCTCCCAGCTGTCCAGAACCATAAAATCATTAAGTCTGGAAAAGCCCTCTAAGATCACTGGGTCCAACTGTTGTGCTGCACTTCCATGTTCACCACTAAACCGTGTTCCCAGCTGCCACATCCACACTTTTCTGTGAACATTTCCAGGGATGGCAAATCCACCACTTCCCTGGGTAGACTGTTCCAATGCTTGACCATCTTTACAGTAAAGAATTTTTTCCTAATATCTAGTTTAAGGCAACCTTCCTTCCAGATCCTACTTGTGTTCACTTCCAGGTGTTTCTTCTGGCCCTTGTGGTAGATTTGATAACTTCCAGTCAAGTGGGACCTCCCTGGTTAAAATAACTGGTACCAAAAAGTGAGGCAGCCTTGTCTGCTCTCCTAAAGGAAGGGTTTCTTAAGGGAGCCAGTGGAAGCTTTGTTCAGTTTTCTTTTGTGACGGAAGAATCCATCGAGTCTCTGTGTCCCCAGAGGGAAAATTAACTTATAATGGTGCTTATCCTGCAGGGGCACTTTCTACAGCAAAAGCCACATTAATGGATAAAACCAGTTTCTTCTGAATTTATAACTTGGCTGAAAAGATAGGAGATTCAATGCACAGATTAAAATATGATTGAATATTTTAGCATTAGGAAAGACTGGATCTCAACCTTTGCTGCAACTGCAAAACAGTATTCTGGAAAGTTTGAGGACGTTTTGATTTTAATACAATTAAAGGCTTCTAGTTTTATGTGCCTTGGACTGTGCCAGTTTCTGCATAGTGATGGATTATGTTAACTATTCATTAGGACAATGTTTCATAGTTTGTTCTTCATTAATTGGTGCCATTATGTTTTGTTTTGTATTGAGTGCTTTTGCCTGACTGCTCAGATGTCCTGAAGCAAAGACATGATATTTATGAAGGTTTATTTGGGAAAGATGATAGGAACAGGTTGGCTGGGGTATGAAGAACAATGTTAACTGTGGCTCCTCAGGTGGGAAAAGAGATGGTTTAGAGGCATTACAGGCAAAGTTTGAAAAATCATGGATGGCATACAAGATAGAAAAAAAATAGGTTCATTGTGCTTTCCCTGATAAGAACTGAGTTAGGCCCCAAGATAGAAAAAAAATAGGTTCATTGTGCTTTCCCTGATAAGAACTGAGTTAGGCCCCAATCAAACAAGAGGAGGCTCATTGTGCAATGGGCAGAAGTGGGTGATTCTTTAAGGGATGTTGTGAATGTCATAAGTTTACCTGAGTTCAAGGGGAGGATGCAGAAGTCTATATGAGAGAAATCTATAAAAGGTTTTGATATAGAAATCACATTTGTCTCTGAATTATGCTTCTGGATTCCAAAGATCCAGAGGTACGAGAGATATTATTTTTCAGTTCATTTATGTTCTTAGGAATCCAGTATTGGCTAGTAACAAAAATAATAGTGATACTGGATTAGTTATCCCTTCTGTTCCGCCCTGCATCCCCATGCTGTGACAGATTTTTATGATGGAGCAGAGTAAAACATTGTGGGATTTGGTTACTTCATGTGTTTGGTTACGTGCAGGGGTTGGGGTCACACTGAGTAAATCTCTGTCTGATATGTCTGCAATGTTCGATTTGAGAAACTTCTGTTATCCAGGGCTGCCAGCTAAGGAACATCTTGCACAGACATGAGCTGTTTTGGGGAACATATTATAATATTTGTTGCTATAATTTGGTGCATTTGGAGGGTTTTGGGTGTTCCTGGCCATTCTCAGAAGTCACAGGTCTCCAGTGCATCTGGAGCAGAACAGAATTATTTGCAGGTTTCATGAACACAAGCATGAAGTGAAAAACAAACTTTTTAACATGATGGATACTCAACTGCAGATTTCCAATGTTTTACCCAATTTGAGAGCTTCACTATTAGAATGATGAAAAGACACCAAGAAGACAGAACCTGGAGGGCACCAGCTCATTTCATCTTTCTTCAGGCTTCCAAATTAAGCAGATTTTTTTAGGAATTATAATGATGCTTTTTGAAAGCATTTCTGGGACATGGAGAGAATTTTAGAAGTTCTGCTCTTCACTGCTAAGCCAAATACATTGCTCTCTTTTCCCTCCCCATGCCAGGGATGTATTTCCACAAGGTCTGCCTGATGAATATGCCTTTGTAACTACCTTCAAATTCCGGAAAGCTTCCAGGAAGGAAGACTGGTATATCTGGCAGATTATTGACAAGTATGGCATACCACAGGTAAGAGGCTCTTTTGCAGCCAGCTCTTTTGCAGCCTTTTTTTATTTTTTTTTTTTGGGAGGGGGTTGATTGTTTGGTTTGCTTTGGTTTTTTTCATGAGCAAGTTTTCTTGACTTAACCTCCCACTCCCTTTTCTTGTGAACTGGTAAAAATCCTGGCTCTACCTGCTCCATTCCCTGCTGCTTGCTGGTAATTGCCTGACTTTGGTAAAGCAAGATAGCAATTTGTAAATTAGCTCAAAGTTGTATGTCTTCAAAAACCTATTTTTGCCTGCTCTATAGCTTGCAGTACAGAGGATGGGGTGCAGGTCTCTGTTCAAAGCACCTGAAATAAAAAGTGGGCAGTGCCACAGCTCAGCAGACTAGTTTCATATGAGGCAGTGAGGTATTTTTCCATATCCCATGGGACAATTGAGGACATGTAATGGGAGTAAAGAACCTGCTGGGAAGCAGTGGGGGAGTACAGAGAATACAGGGATCCAAACCAGATTCAGCTTTAGGGAGGTGCCTTTGGGAGGTGCCCATGGCCTGAGCTACCACCCACCCATGGCAGCCAGGTGGCCTGTGCTGAAACCATGCCAAGGGCTGTACTCACAGGAGGAGGTTTTAGCTGGCCATGGGTCTACACCAAAGGCTGTGGAGCCCAATTTATTTACCAGCACAAGTGTAGGTTCCCTTTCCATATCTCCCACAAAATTCCATCCTCTCCTCTTTGCTTGGGCTTCTCACCACAGCCTGTGCCATCCCTGGCTTTGGGGTGTCAGTGATGATGAAGAGCAGTCAGGAGGAAGGAGAAGGCTTTGTTCCTCAGCAAAGCCCCTTCTGTTTCCTTGCAGGTCTCGATCCGGCTGGACGGAGAGAACAAAGCTGTGGAGTACAACGCTGTTGGGCTCACCAAGGACGCCGTCAGGGTGGTGTTCCGAAACGCACGAGTCACTGACCTGTTCGACCGCAACTGGCACAAAATCGCCCTCAGCATCCAGTCCAAGGCTGTGTCGCTGTACATAGACTGCAAACTGGTGCAGATGCTGCCCATTGAAGACAGGGAGAACATTGACATTCAAGGAAAGACTGTGATTGGCAAACGCTTGTACGACAGTGTCCCCATTGATGTGAGTACTGCACTTGCTGATTAGAGCTGGGTAAAGGTTCAGCTTTGGGTTTGCAGTCTGTGAATGAGTGGGGTTTTGGGGGTTATGTTGTAATTGACCCTTTTCCTGAGGCAGCATCGCTGAAATGTTGCCAGTGTTACATAGCTAAGACAGATTGACACCTTATGATGCACAGGACTTGCTGTATTTTTATGTGAGACTATATCTCCATAGCAGGGATTAAAAATGAGAAATTTATTTCATCTTTCTGCCTAGTCACAGAATGTGCTACAGTTAGAAGCAGTGACAAAATCATACACAAATATTACCAAACTGGGTACTGAAGTACACAGAAAGGTCTTTCTCCATCTGATCTTGGCATTATGAATGTTTCCACATGTGATAGAAAGAGATGGGGGGAAAAAAAGGAAGCTTGTAAACTCAAGAGAGTTGTGATACATTCTCCATTCCATAGATATTAAATTACCCTTAGTACAAATGAACCAAAGTCAGGACACACAGGCTGATTGGCCAGCAGCAGTCTCACCCTGGTATAATTTATGTGTGATAGTTTGGTACTTCAGACTTTTATAATCTTTCTTAGCTGTGTGAAATGGATGGGACATGCATATCAAATGTGTTCATAACATTTCTCACACGGGAATAAGTGGTCAGAAGATGCAAGGCACAACAGGAGGAAAACAGACCTTGTGTCTAGATGAAATCCTAGGAAGGATAGATTTGGCCAGGATATGTCTTCTCAGACAGAAATTTGGCCAGAACATGGGGATTAGCATGAAAACCTGCACCAGAATTTGAATAGGCATTTTCAGGGTCTTATTATCTCAGCTCTTGTGGCATGCTGAGACATTGGTCTGTTATTGATAGGGAGAGATAGAGATTGACTCCAGGATCCAGAGAACTGCTCTGAAGTTAGCACCATCTGCTTTTTGTTTGTGTTTGCCTACTCTGTTTGTGTCCAAGCAAAAGGACACAGGGTCTTTAATAATTCACTGTCTCTGAGACTGCTGCCTCCCTTTGTCTCCCAGTTTGATCTTCAGCGGATGGTGATTTACTGTGATTCCCGGCACGCCGAGCTGGAGACCTGCTGCGACATTCCCTCTGGACCAGTAAGCTCCTTTATGTCATTTATTCATTTTCACATGAACACTCTTCACTGCAATCTATGACATAAATCAGGGAATATGTGGCAGTGTGGGATTATAATTTTGTTTAATAGGGGTGATTGAAACCTAACTGTGTAATTGGCAGTGTAGCAGCACCAGAGGAGGACCACTGCAGAGGGATGAGTATGAGGAATTTGAAGTTTCCAAGTTCCTCTGTCCTTGTCAAACTGTCAGGGGAAACAAAACCCCAAGTGATGATAGAACAACAGAAATGCTGCATTAAATATTCAACATGTTTCCCACTGGTTTTATTTGGAAACAGCTAAAAACAGTGCCAATTGAAACTTATCTTCCTGTGCCCAACTCTCACTAGAAACTTCCACCCTCCTTTCATTCTTCTCCCTTCAGTCTTGGTTAAAGAGGTTCATTGTTCATTTTGCCACATTTTCCCTTATTGCTTGGTGAATGGATTTTGTGGGCTTTCATTCCTCACGAGGTGGCATTTGGCTGTGTGTTACACAGTAGTGCCTATGGGATTTGTCTAAAAAGGGTGAAAGGGGAAATTTTCTGGCATCAAAAGCTTTTTCCTGACCTTGGGTGTTTGGGTGCAGTGCCAGGTCACGGTCCTGACAGAAGCACCTCCCCTGGAAGTGAGGCCCACTGTTGGCAGTGAGCAAGTTGGACATCTCAAGATTTTTAACTGCTCCTGTCCTCCTGGACAAAAGGTGAGTGTTGAGATGAGTGTGTTTCATTTGGGATGTCTATAGAGGGAAAGGAAGTTCCCAAGTGTTTTCTCTTTACTTAATTCAGTGATTCTGGTCATGCTGCTAGTCCTGGTAACAACATTGAAAACAAACTGATTATTCTTACCCAGCTCAGTTACGTGTATCCTTCTTCAAATAAAATAAAACAGATTCTGAGGATAAATGTGGCCACATTGAAAAAAATCTCATGGCTTTTAAAAGCAATGTGCTTACTTTTTCTGGCTCTGGCTGGGACCTCTGAGAAATCCCTGTCACTTCTCCTCAGGGCATGTCAGCTTTATTATCTTCTCTGCTTAAACCTGAAAACATTTTTGTTGTCCTCAGTAGTTGCAAGATCAGGCCTCTTGCTTGAATATAAAATGAGAAGATAAGTTTGATTAATCATGCCTTTTTTGTCTTAGGGGGAGAGGGGTCCACTTGGCTTTGAAGGTCCCAAAGGTCAAAAGGTCAGTAATATGTGTTAGTTCATTTGTTTAATAAAAACATAAACAGCAACAGCAAAATTAATAAAAATTAATAAAAACAGCAACAGCAAAACAAATTCAGAGTACTGAATACAGTACTGAGTACAGAGGATTTGAAGATTTTGAGAAATGAGTGTCAATTTAATATATGATTAAGTTTAGACAGCTTTGGATAAGCCTGGAACTGCAGAAGTTTTTTTGTAATCTTTTATCTTTATTTTACGCTTGCATTTAGGCTTCTCTCTTGCTGCTTTATGTCATTCTTAGAGTAAATGTGTTGCAAAATCCTTTCCTGCAGCTTCTAAACTGGCATTTTTGCAAGTTACTCTTATTCACCAGGTCATGCACAGCTTCCATGGTAGGTCACCTGGAAAAAGAGGAGCTGCTGCCATGCTGTGCCTTGCTCAGCAGTAATATACGTGCAAAGTTTAGGCAGCAGCCTTCCAGTCACACTCCAGAAAATTTCTTGTGGCTAGGGGTAAAGGATCAGTCACAATTTGTTATCCTTGGTAAGGCTGTCTGAGTCATGATGTTAAACAGAGGCCACTTCCCTCAGTACTCTTCTTCCTTGGTAAAAGGGCAGGAGAGTGGTTGTGATATCTGCTTCAAGTTTCACAGTGGAGCCTTTGTATTACCCTGCCTGTTGTGCAAGTCTCCTTGATATACACGTGTGTGCATTCAGCATAAACACATCCTCCTTCTGTGCCTGGTTACAGATAGAGCCATGAGGCAATAGACTTAAAGGGAGCACTTGTACAGGAAGAAAACAGAGTCGCAACATTGCTGGAGAGGTGAAAGTTGTTGTTGGTGTTTCCTAGTTTTACTGTCTGTGAAAAGATGTTTGGGAAAAAAAGTTGTATTCAAAACTATTTCCATCTGAATCACTTCTGCAAACTGAGTCACTGAATTTATACCTATTTGGTGAATAACCCACTAAAAGTCGCTCAGTTATTATGAAAGACTGTGGGAGGGGAAAGGAAAAATCTCTGGGTCTTGGAAGGTCAAACATCTTCAGAGATGTGCTGTCTTTTGGCAAAGCTTGGTCTGCTGTCTGCAGGGAGTTTTGGAGATAAGAATATGCCTTTTGGAGGCTGGGATGAAAGGACATGGGCTCATTACTGCTCAAATGTGCCTGTGCAGAAACAGGTTCGTTATGCTACCGTGTATAAATAAATAATAGTTTTCTATTTTAATCCATGACAGCTTTAATAGTGGTGGGCTATATTAAGGAATGGCAAAGCCATGACTGTTGTGAGGAGGTTGCAGAAAAGACAATGATGATAATGATAAAAGGGCCCTGCAGCAAGATCCCATTGTCTTGCCCTGCTTTGCCAAGGTCTGTGTGCTGGTGAGGGTGTCTCAGTGTGTCACCCCAGTCCTGGGGTGCAGGACACACTGGTGGAATACAGGAGTGTGTCTACCAGCACAGCATCAGCAGGTTTTCTGGAACACACCCCAAAAGGACTGCCCCACTCCTGCAGGTGACTTTTCCCTGGCTGTAGTGGTTTGAGACTTGTACACAGACAAGGCAGGACTGTGTCACAGTTTCAAGGACCTGGGGATGATGCTATTTAGATATGGGATCTGACAACAATTTAGTATAAATGTGATTATTTGAGACAAATTATTTAGCTTCTCTATCTGCTAAATAATGTGAGTAGTAAATTTATTTCCCAGCTTGCAAAGATGTTGTGATTCAGTAATGTATACCACTCCTGACAGCTGATCTTACATTGCTATTGCCAAGGAGCAGCTTGTCACAGTCCTTGCTCTGTGTTCAAGAATGAATTTTAGCTCTCCTCCTCTCCCCCTGAAACTAGCTACCCAGGCTAAAATCCTGGCCTTGACAAGGATCTCAATGCTTATTTTCAGCTTCCCAACATTACCACCTGGTATTTATTAAAGAAAGACAAAGCTAATGTGATTCTGATATTCTCTAAGTTTTCAAAGTCAGGGAGAAACAGGAGAGCTTGCAGATATCAAAAAAGCAAAAAAAATTCTGGGAGATAAGCACCTCTGCCTCAATCACCCATGCTGCCAAAGTGAGGGTAATGCATGGAGACACAGTTGATGTGTTTTGGAATGAGATACGGTGAAGGATGGTATTGGGAAACAGCTAGACAGGAAATAGCTGTGCCAGAACTGGCTAATATGTCTGAAGCTGGGTCCTATTGATAAATTTTGGATGCTAATGACAACCCAGTCTGATTTATTTTCCTTCCACAGTCCCTCTGCAGGCTGTGCTGTTTGCAGGCAGCCAGGATGGCTGGTTGGGGCACTGGGCTGATGATCAACAGGCTTCTTCTCTCTTCCAGCACTGCTATTGATCCAAGTGTAGAGAAAATCCTTTCTCTGTGAGATGTGTTTTTGTCCACAAAGAATTTACAATTCTTACCTGCCATTGTGAAGTTTGTCAAGTCCAGTGTATTAGACAAGCTCTACAAGGATGTATCTTTTCCTCCAAATTAGAAAGGCTTTGTATTTTCAGTGACTTAAAAGAGATGGTAGCATAAAATTTTTAATGAATTTTACCACAGCCTTATTAATTGAATGTGACATAATTTTTTCATATATGCTACTTGCTCTGTGAATTTTCTGTCTTTCGGGATAAAAAGAAAAAAAAAAGCAGCAGATTAAAGAAAGAAACTTTCATATTTTCTGTGCTTTCAAAAGCATTTCTTCAGCTGGGGAAAAGAAAGCACCATCCTGTTAAATATTTTCAGTTCCTGGTGCTGCTAAGCACATTTTTTTGAGGGGACATAGGTCAGGATAAATTGGATAGAGATATAAAATTAAATCCTGCTGTGGTCCATGTGGGTAGATGTGGGGAGAGCAGGGGTCATCAGACTTATTGATGCTGGTATTGGAGGCTCCTGCTCCAGGTCTGAGACTTTTGCAGCTTGATGTTAAGTCTGTACTGAAGTTCACAGTGCCTGATTTCCCTCCTAGCAAAAGACGGTGGGAGGCACAAATAGGTGAGCACATTGTAAGTGAGAGGTGGGAAGCTCAGAACAGCACATTTTTGGTTTGTACATTTTGGGTGAGGATCAGGAAGGAGCTAGGCAGAGTGGTGTGGACAGAGCCCTCTGCTCCCCAGCAGCTCCCAGTGCTAGAGGAATTGAAGGAACTGGTGGCAACACAGCACATAGCCTTAAACTAGTCCAAGCAGTGCATATATATCCGCTCGTTTTGAGACTGCAATGCAGTGTGTGAAAATAATTTATGGGAATTTTTTCTGCACTTGCTGGGTTTGGCACCACTTTTAATTCTGTATCTGATAAATATGTATGAAATTTTGGATCTTTGATTCTTTATCCCTTTTACCCCTGTCCTTTCTAGTCGAAAAGTGAAGAAAAAGTTTTGCTTTATTTTTGATTGACCATTTTTCCCCTCTATGTATGTCCTTCTCCAGTTTTAGTTTTTCTGACCATCATAAATTGTATCTTTCTAATTGTCTCTTTTCTGTGTTATTTTCCCTCTCTCCCACTGGAACAAGCAGGAAGAATGAATGTGTGTGCTACAAACTTGTGGGAGGGAAGAGAAAGGTTAACTGATACTGAGCATTTAGTGTGACTGAAAACAAAGAGTTTGGATTGCAAAAAGAAACAACAAAAAAAAAATCAACCAACCAAAAAAAAAAAAAAGCAACCCTTTAAAATCCTGACAAATCTTCAGATTATCTTTTGCATATTTTAAGCATGTACACTCTAGGTCTCCTGCAAAGCACCTTTCCAACTATTTCGTCTCTTAATAAAAAATAAGAGCTTTTGAAGTACTTCACAGGAGAAAACTCTCTGCCTTGCCAAAGGCTTCTACCTGTATTTTCATATGAAAATAGAATAGAAAATCAATCTGAAATCTTGGATGTTTAAGACATGCAATTAGGTACACCCAGTCCTTAGGGCAGGAGCTGAAATCTTGCCTGTAGAGACTGGTGGAAACAAAAGTATCCATAATTTCAGTCAAACCCTTGTTGCGTCACTTTCCTTCTATGTCCAAGAAAGGAATTAATTAACTGTGTGATATTAACACATTTTCCATTTCAAGGGAGAAAGAGGCATCCCAGGACTTCCTGGACTCCGAGGAGAAAAAGGAGAGTCAGTAAGTAAGAAATACCCAATGATTTTGCTAAAGGAGATGAAAATGTAAGTAGTTGTTTCCTCCTTTATGGTGCAAACCTGCTCACAGCGTTGTGTGCCCAGGTCAAAGCTGTTCCCTCTGCTGGACCTGAATCCCAGGAGGAACCTGGCACTCACTGGCACTCACTTGGGGAGGGGCAAATGGAAGTTTTGTCCGTGGGTACAGCTGATAAGTGACTTAATATTGATCTTCTAATTAAATATGTCATTTGGATGCACTTGATTACCACAGTTTCATGTCTGCTGGGGGACAGTATGAGACAACTGAACACAAAGAAGATGCAAATCTCTCTTGACTTTTTACATTCGATGACCAAGACACAGCTTTCCCCAGCTGTAATTAATGCAAATGCCAGGCTGAGCTTTTAGGCAAGAAAATCTTTAACCCTATGTAAAATTCATTCCAGTAAGTGTTGTTGGCAACTGTGCTTTTGGAATGCAACATCATGCTCTTCCATGAATAAAAAATAAGATTTTTTCTGGCTGCAGTAGGAGAATTTGGGATAAGTTTTCATTTTAATTTGTCACTGAATTATTATCTAGGAATTATGCCCAAAGAAAATTGCTTTCCTTATAGTAGTTGTGAAGTGACTTGTATGTCTATACATAAAGAGAGATAGATCTTGGATGCATAACAAGGAAAACATAGAATATGTATTTGCAGTGTTGTTTGATATCCTTGTTTTCAAATGTACATCTTCCCCTTTTTTTTTCTTTTTTTTTTCTCATTTCTAGGGCAAAGCCTATGGCATAGGAGAAAAAGGAGAAAAGGTAAGATCTAATCCTTCACTGGTCCAACAAATGAGTTGCTTGCTGTTCAGAGGTTGCTTTTGGTGTGCATAGGATACAGAAAATGTGGCACTGTTGGATTTTTGTGGGGAACCTTTATGCCTCCTTCTGCAGATGAGCTTTTGAGTGTTCATTGCTTTTTCTCCTTCATGTTCTTTGAGTTTCTTTGTGCATTGGCTATGGCAAATCTGATCAAATTGAAATCATAATCTTTGCTTTGTGTAAGCAGCAGTGAGTTTGTGGAGGATAATGCACTAAAGAAATTGGCCGGAAGGATGAAAAACAGAAGGAAAGCATAATTTTGAGTTTATTGAAATTTTCAGCAGGATTAAATTTGGCTTATGAGAAATCTGTCATAATCTTTCTTCCAATTGGATCTTTTCATTAATAAACTGAATGAAAAAAGCTGGAATGTTTTTTTACTTCAAATATTAAGCAGGACAGAGTAATAAGACTTGGAAGTTAAAACTGAGGATATGGAATAACCACTGAAAATTTCTTTGTTATCTCCCTTGGAAAACTCTCTCAATGGTGGTCAACAGTGGGAAACAAGCAGCAGAACTGGATTAATTTGCATTTAGAAAGATGGTGATTTTGGGGCAATTCTGGCTATAAACTTTCCATTCTGCACAAAAAAATGAGACTTGATGCCTGTACTTCAGAAGAGAATTAGCTCTTTCTGTCTGTAGCTCCATATCACACCTGGTTGAGGGTGTTTTCCTTATGATCAAAATGAAATTTCAGGTTGCAAGGAAAAATGGAAAAAGATTGTCAGGATAGGAGATGAACATTTTAAGGAAGAAGTCATGGTTCATATTGAAAATGAGATTAAGAATCTGTTGAGATTGTTTCAGGGAATGTGTAGCTACTCAATTGCTCAGAGAATTTCAAACAATATTGGATTGTGATCGTAAAGGAAGAATGCTGCACTAGAGAGAACATGGCATTTATGCCCATTGCAGCTTCTCATTTGCTCTTTCTGTGGTTATGATATATTGATTGTATATAGTGGTAATTCATCACGTGAAATTACAATCGAAATGCCAGTTGCTCATGGCAGGAAATATTATTGAGCCAGGCTAGAGACATGGGGGCCATAAAGAACACATTTCTGCATTCATTTTCCTGCAGTCATCCCACTGACAGACACTATTTAGCCTTTGAGACTCAGGATTCAGCCTTTGGAAACCAGATTGTGTTTGGCAGGTGGTGAGAGCCAACAGTGTGCTGGGAAACATGATCTTTATGGTATTAGTTGTGCTGTAGTTGAAGTAAGTTGTTGTTTTCTTATGTTTTGAATTCTGCAGAAAGAATGTCAGAAAATATCATTCCATCTCTATTATTTTCATGCATAGACAAACAGGTTTGCAGGTCTGGAGATGGAAGAGTAGAGAGATGTCATAACATGTGCAGAACTTCTTCAGCTGGATTAGCCAAACAGCATTGAGTGCCCAAACAAACGTGTAGGCTTGGAGGATGATGAGTTTATGGTCAGCTTGTTGTGTTTGTTTGGTACCTCTGCCACCTGAGACAGCTTGTTCTTATCTGCAGAAGGAGGGTTTGGAACCCAGGGTGTTTGTGCCCCATGTGCAGCCAATGGCTCAGTGTCAGGGCTGTTGCTGATGCAAAGATTTATCAGCTATATGTTGCAGGCTTGATTAAAAAGAGAGCCTTGGGTTATAGAAGCATAAAATCATAGACTATCTCAAGTTGGAAGGAATCCATATAGATCATCTAATTCAACTCCCTGCTCCTTCCAGGACTACTTAAACTAAACTGTGTAACTAAGAGCACAATCCAGATGCTTCTTGAGCTCTGACAGGCTTGGGACTGTGACCAAGTCCCTGCACTGTCTGTTCCAGTGCCCAAGAAGTAGCCAGAACCACGGGGAGCAGGGCTGGAAGTGCCTGCAATGCCAGTTACCATCAAAGTAGAATAACCTATGAAATTAAAACCTTCCCAGAGAGGAGAACACTTGGAAGGAGAGGATTCATGTGTCTCCTTTGTTTGCCTGCTGCGCTGCAATGGCTGCATGAAAAGGAGTTCTTTTTTCCCACTTTGGCTGTGACAGCTTTGTTACCTTGATTTTTATGGGTATGAGCCAGTGCTGGAGAGCTGGATCAGAGATGCTGGACTTTACTAACAGCTGCCATCTGTGTGGTTGTTGCTGTGCATGTGCTGTGGCATCCTTTAAAAGGACGAGGCTCACATCCTAAATGTGGATGGAAAAAACTGGTCTCACCTTTGAAAAGACTGAGATGACAAGATTAAAATCACCCCCTTACTGTAGTCTTGCTCTCCAGCTGTGCCAGTTCCAAACACCTGTCAGGCCACACTGTTGCCAAGTACTGTTTGTAGGGCATTTATGTGAGGTCTGAGGCATTTGTCAGAGGGAAAATCCTGTGCTTTTCCAGAAGCACAGGAGAGGTACTGGCCTTGCTTCTCCAGGTCATCACCTTGGTTATATCACCAAGTTAAAGCCAAAAGGATGCTTGTATTAGCATATATAACTTGTCAAGCACATCATTAGTGGTAAACCCCAAGATAATAGCAGCAAAAAACCTAATTCATGTTGGCATGAGGACTAGTGTGATTTTTAAACCCAGGAAACCCATGTGATGGTTCAAGCAGCAGCCTGGCATGTTCTGCCAGGCCTAAATAGCTCAGAGTGATTGAGGATGATTTTTATGTACAGAAACATGCATATGCAGCCAAGTTATTGTGCACAGATATAAAAAAAGAAAACAACATAATGCATCTACAGGTGCCTTCGTAAACCACTCTCAAGTGGATTTCCTGGAAAGGTGTGATTCACCTATTCACTCTGTATTGGATCTTAAATTTCCATTGTTGACTGGCATCTTTCAGCCCTTGGAGTTCTCAATCCCTTTCACATTAGATGTAGTCTGTCATATTTCTGCTCATAAATCTATGTCCGTTTACTGTGTGTTCCTTCACTTCTGCAAGCGCTTCTGTTGTTGAACTGATTATTATATGTGGGTAAGTATCCAATTCTGTAACATCATCACCATCAAAGGGAATGCTTTAGCTTTATTCTGGAGGTTATTCAAGTGGCTATCTGCTAAACCAGATGGCCTGATCCTGGAAGGGTTGTAACTCATCTTCAAATCTCTATTGATTCAAGAGGAGCAGGGGCAGAAGAGGAGTGAGGGCAGCAGGAGCAGCTGGAGAGCATTTTTGAGGATGATTCAAGCAAAACGGGGTTTCAGTAACTCGATCAAAGTCAGAGAATTCATGTCTGACAAGGGAGGCTCTGTAGAGCATGAGGTCTGCATTCCTGGGGCACAGCCATCCACATCATGAGCCAGCCCTCCATGTAAAATTTAACTGGGAGACTTTCAAAAACTTATGCCTTTGTCTTGCAAAGTACTGAGTGTTATGCACTGGTGCTGAGACAGCTGTCCAGCACCCCAAAGGCCAAGAGCAGTGAAAAGGCTCTGCAGGCAGGAAGGTGCTTTACACAGGAAATAGGATGACTTTAGGGGGAATAAGATGCAAATCTGTCAAACTTTGAGTGGTATGGAGATATTAGTGGGAAATTATTTTATACTCTTTCTTCTGTTGTAAAACTGAAGGGGAAGAAAACCAAGCTACCTGAAAGTGAGTTTAAAATTTACGAAATGAACTTGCTTTTCATCCAGCAGGGATTGAAACACCTCTTTGCAGACTCTTCTGGAGGTTACAATTTTGTGTGCTTGAAACAGTGCATATGAGTTAATTACAGTAAACTCTAAACCTCTAGTGGGTACAAAGACATTCTCTGCTTCAAGATGTCAGTGGAGCTCTGCAAACTGTGATTTGTGACAGAAGGGCAGGTTTGTGAAGTCTGCCATGAGGAAAACTGAGGCAGATGGGCCAGGAGCTCACTGCACCTTTGTCTTGACTGCTGGTAGCTGTTCTTAGACTTTTGTACAACCCTTGAATATTCCCAACACCTTCATTGCCCAGAAAGGGACAGAAATTTCCAAAGTTTGTTCAGGGTTTAGGCCAACACTATTCACATGTGTTGAAGAAGAGTAAGAACCATGAAAAAAGGTGTCATGAAACAAGTGGATCAAGTGATCCCTACCATGATTTTTTTCCATAGGAAACCAATTAGTCATAGGAAAAAAGTCTAACCATGAGCACCCATCTTTTGCAGAGACGGTGGATGAAGGTTTCATTATGTTTTGCAGTGGGACTTCCCTCACTAATAAGTTTCCAAGAGTACCCAAGCTTTCCTTTTGTGCTTTATCTGTTTCCCTTCACGCTAATAATCACACAGGCAGCAATGAATATGAGAAGCAACTTTAGTAGATTAAGTCAATATTCTCCTAGCAATTTTTTTTTTTCATGGTAATGACTCTGATAAAAATGCAGGAGGATTATTATAGTATTTCTAAGGAGAATAAAATCTCTGAAGTGGCTTGGCTTATTAGAGATGCAGTGACTGCAAGGCCAAGCATAGAAAAGAAAAGCAGGCAGATAGTTCAGGCTCCAGGCTAGACTGTAGGACATCCAGACTTGGAACTTGGCTCTAATGACCTTGAGCAAAGCAGCTAGTCTGTGTTCCCCTAGAATTAAGCTGAAGAGTCTCCTTCCCTCCAGGCCTGTGTATCTTGTCTACTAGATCCTTCAAACAAAGGCTTTGCTTCCCCTTCCCTTCTCTTCCAAATTGGAGTTATTGCCATTTTTAGGGCATCTGGAAAAGCTGTGGAAATCTGCTCTGTTAGATACAGTGTCCCCACACTGATCCCTGTGCTCTGTCTGCCCCGAGGCAGCTGAATACACAAAAAGCCTGACCTGAAAGCCCTGATGCATTTTTACCCCTGTGCTGTGCTGTCAGCAGGACTTACTAAATTAGCACAAGCACTGTGCCCTTAGATCAGGGCTGGCCAGCATCCAGCAACTTGGGACACAAGAAAAAGTGCCACAAAAAGTGCTACAGGCATAGCTGGAGTCTGGTGTTGGAGGCTGCTTCG